CACAATCAATTCATCTTCCTCCCTTGACACTTCTCCCCTCGCTCTGTAAAATTATCCCGCAAAACACTGTGAAAAAAAATATCGCCTGATACTCGCAGTCTAAATATTCAAACATCTATCCATGTCTTCTCAACGTTTTCCTTCCCCGTCTGCTGGCTTCTAGATGAGCCGCTTCCTGAGCCGACTCACCACTGACAAAGCCTTCCACCACCTCCCGTCGCTCTCCCGCCTCTACGGCGTCTCCTCTCTCTCCTCCGCGGCCTGCTCTCCAAACCCCTGCGCTTCATGGATTCGCTCCTCTCCTCCAACGACGATGACGTTGTTCTTTCCAGCTTCGATCACTCCTTCCTCCCCCCTTCCTTCTCCGACCCCGGCGAGTTCATCTTCCTTGTTCCCTTCAGGTTTTATCAATTCTTGTAAACGAAGCACATCTCTACTCTTTTTTCCTTAGTGTTAGTGTTTAACTGCTGCAAATGGTGCAGGTGGTGGAAGGAGGCGGTGTCTGGCGGCCTCAGGTCCGAGGGAATGGATGGAGTTGGTAGCGTTCTGTACAATGCGATAGTGAAATTGAGTGATGTTAGGGTGGAGGAAGACTCGGAGGGAGATTTTTTTGGGGGTTTTAGGGATCCTGAGATTATGTTGGATATGAGAAGGGATGGGGAGGCTGAGGTTAGTGGGCAAGAAGGGGTTTCTGGCAGCGATGGGGATTTTGCGTTGGTGTCAGAGTGGATGTTTTTCACTGTTCTTAAATGGTGAGAGTGATTGATTTAGCTGTAGTAATAGGTTTACTTTTATGTTATCTGCATGCAAACGCAAGTTTATTTTAATGATGTGGTTTTGTTGTTGGCTAGTGTTATAGTGAATGCTAGTGCTGAGCTAGCGATAATATGGTTATCGTTTATTTTTGGCAATTTAGTGAATGCGTTTTCAGTTTTCATGTTTGTTCACGTAATATTCGTTGTGATCTGAATCCGGACTTGTAACATTGATATACTAGAGAGTTGGAAAGTGGTATTTTTACTATTGTAGCCGTCTGATTTTTCTTGTAATTAGATTCAGTTCTTGTCTTCTTGACACGCAGGCTTACCATGCTTGGGAAATCTATTTTTGTTAACAAAATCAATGGAAGCCCTTTAATTGTTGGATGTTTATGTTGTAATTGTGCATTTTTGTTGGCGGTGTTATGCAGACATTATCAGAAGTCAAATATTTTACACCTTTTGCTTTTCGATTGCAGGCATTATGATAAGGAGGATGTAGAAAGTTCAGTACCTGGAGACAATGGTGCACATGATTTATTCTCTTTGAAGATTAGACTTTCGTTTATGAGGGAAGGGCATTTGATCATAAAGATTAGCGAAAAGGTTCATTAACAAATCAGCTTCATCTTCTCTATATTCAATCATTATACAGTGAGGTTCTTGTACTTGTATCTGTGAAATTTGGTTGGGCAAGCAGTAAGCTAGTTCCCAGTTGCATTGACCCTTTTTCTCAAATTAATTTAACATTTCTCAAACATAGTCGCCACTTGATACCCTTGAACTATATAATTCTGTATAACCCGACTGAAACAGTTGAATAAACTGAGTTTCTAAAAGGGCAAACTGCTTGTACATGGTTCAGTACATAAATACTAAGTAGGTACCTACAGAGAAAGACTGATTTAGTTAATAGAAGTGCTTAAGAATCCAAAGACATCTATTACTTATTTATGATTAAAAGCATTTGATTGGGTGTTTACTTATGACTAGTGTTCTTGCAATATATCTGCAGACAAGTGGTTAAAAACCTTGTTATTTAACTATTTGGGCTTGAAGTTCTTGCTCCTTCATCAAACTTCTCTAAATGCTATTCACTTGTTTTTCCATATCTGTGTTTCATATTTTAAAAGTATTCATCATAATTTCTTGTGTCTTAGCAATAAGTTGATTTAACATAAGGTCGAAACTTCTGAATGGTAATTTGATGCTTGATTGGATACTTCTGGTGTAGTTCCCTGTCTGTTTAATCTGACCATCCTCCTTTGTGAATTCAAGGACAATGAAGTGGGAGTTTTCTACAAAGCATGCAACATATTTTGTTCGAAGTCTAGCGCGGTGAGCAATGATGTTAGTTATCAATATGATTGTCTGTAATAATTCTTACCGAATGATGATCATTCACTTGACAATGTGCAGTTGTATATCTGGGACTTCTCAGGTCAGACAAGCCAGTTGTTTGGTATTGACACAATGGATTCAGGTCAACCAGATGAGGTAATCATATTTTCTTTCTTTGCTAGTGACATCATGGCATATAGCCGTTCTCGTTATTTCTTACTGTGCTCCTGGGTATACGAGAACATATAGAGCTTGTCAAATTTTCTTATCTCACTGGAAAAGACATGTTGGCTGGTTTGTTAATCTCCAAGTTATGAACTCCGACATTGTGCTGTTGATTATGTTTTATTCCATTTCATTTTCATTTACTGTTGTCTTTCTTTATTCTAATAAAAAAAGTTTTTCCATACTCTCGATGCCAATATTGAATCTAGAATTTGGATGCTTGCCATATGTACGAGTATAATGCGGTTTTCGTATACTCTTGGTTTCTGAATGATACTCGTTCTGATAGTTTATTCACAAGTTATGATGATATTTTGCACAGGTTAAGTTAGATTTGAAAATGTATGGCTTGTCCTCTACCACCAGTGACGAAGAGAAGCAGGATGAGTATCTGAAAGAGGAGTCTACCGTTGGTAGTTCATCAACCAGTTCGCCACATAGGATGAATGGCTGTATGGATAAAGTGAAATTGGTTTCAAGGATTACGCCAGTTGTTGGTAGTGGCTCTTATTGCACTGGTTCTTTGGGTTTGACTGGATTGTATAATCTTGGAAATACCTGTTTTATGAACAGTGCTATCCAGTGCTTGGTGCACACTCCAGAGCTTGTTGATTATTTTCTGGCAAACTTCAGGAGAGATCTGAATTGTGAAAATCCACTGGGCATGAATGTAAGTCTTGTATTGTTTCCACTGGGCATGGAAACAACACCAGTTTGCCTGTTTTGTATTGTCTCCATTCTCGTGCATGTCATTTATAATTTTCCTGGAGGCTTCAGCCCTCACGGCTGTTCTCTGCTACGTTTCTAAATGCTGAGTGTTGTTATTATAGGGCAAGTTGGCTATAGCATTCGGGAACTTACTAAGAATGTTGTGGGTCCCAGGGGCCACAACAGTGGCTCCGAGGATGTTCAAGTCCACTATTGCTAGTTTTGCTCCCCAGTTTAGTGGGTTCAACCAGCATGATTCCCAAGTAAGTGCCGCAGCCTTCAAGCCAGATGTTCAATTAGTATTGGCAAATGTAAAGTTTGATATGCTCAACTCTTTTGTAGGAATTCCTTTCTTTTTTGTTTGATGGTCTCCATGAAGATCTCAACCGTGTGAAAACAAAACCATATGTGCAAGCAAAAGAAGAAGATGGTCGTCCTGACGATGAAGTGGCGGATGAATGCTGGGAAAACCATTTATCTCGCAATGATTCAATCATTGTTGATCTATGTCAAGTATTCTTCTTTCTCTCCTAGCCTCCAGGAAGTTACAAGGATGGAAATAATGTTTCAATTTTCTAAATTTTTCATTGTAATGTGTAGAGTGATAATCTGTTTACAGTTTGCTACTTTGGTTGGTATCCATAAAATATGTTTTAGCTTTTGAGTATTGGAATATTTTTTTTCATTCATTTTAAATTTTGAAATAGGGTTGATTTAATTTTTTTCAATTGCTTTATTTTAATTGTAGGGTCAATATAGATCAACACTGGTTTGCCCCGTTTGCAAAAAGTTGTCCGTTACATTTGATCCATTTATGTACCTGTCGTTGCCGGTTCCTTGTTCAAAATCACGAAAGATGATTGTGACAGTCTTGAGCACTGAAGGAGCTACTTTGCCACATCCAGTTACAATAAAAGTCCCAAACGATGGGACCCTCAATGATCTTGTTGAGGCCCTGGGAATAGCTTGTTCATTGAGGGATGACGAAACACTATTAATTGCTGAGGTATATTTTAAAACCTATTATCAGGACTCAGGATTTTGTTTAAATTCTTTTTCTATTGTGGAAACATCCATCATTGTCTGAACATTATGATTCTCCTATAAATTATAATTAGCCAAGTGTATTGAGGAGAAAATTGGCCCAACAAATTCTAGTTCCTCATTGATCTGATTTGTGTTGTTTATGCTCAAAGATAGTCTGTTACATATATATGTTACTAATTCCTATATTGAAGTTCTTTTATGAAGATTAAATTATTGTTTAGAGTTTTGTTTTGGCAAGGCATTGAAGACAGTGTCACAGTGTCTTGGTGTGTGAATGTGATTGGTCATCCCCAAATCTTCAGGAGATTTTTATGATGGAAGTGTTCTCATGTGCCGCATTCGTTTTGTTGAGTTAATCTGGATTCATCTCATTCGTAATCATTGTATGTTTAAGTAGAAAGACAAATACATTTTCGTACAATTTATGATGCATTATCAGAAAAGGTTTTTAATTTATTGAGTTAATTGATTAAGATATTATTAGTCACTTCTATAACTTTCTCACCATTTTTAAGTGAAGACACTTATCATGTTTTATGGTAATTTTTTAAGTGTCATTACAGTTCTGATAAAGATTCTCGTTTGCATAGTTTTCAAAACCGAACTGGTCAGGCCAATCTTACCGATTTGACTGGGAACCAGTCCACAGGTTGGTCCAGTTAGCTGGAGTGAACCAGTTGCTAATGAACCGATCATAACCCGCCAAAAACCTGCCGGTCTGACTGGTTCAATTTTTTTAATTAGTTTTAATATATTTGAAAATATTATTGATATAAATAAAAGTACATATTTAAATATATTGGATATATAAATTAGTGTATCTATTAGTTTAGTCTTTTGAATGCTAAATTATCTAAATATTTAATGAATAATGTTTCTATATAAAATTTATTACTTAATGTACTATATATATTAAAAATATTAATAAGTATAGTATCGGTCCAACCTCTTGAACCACGGGTTCGACCAATAAACCATTGAACATGTAGCTTGACCTGTTCAATGACTGGTCCGGACTGAAAACCTTGTTTCTTTCCACTTCATGGTGCTTTCTGCACTTTTTGAAGTTATTCCCGTTTGTTGATTTAGTGGTCATTATCTTGGTCAGCGCAAGTGTCTTAACATGTCTTAGCAATGGCATGCTTATCCTTTTTCTCCTTTGGCCTTTAGAGTACACCCAATTGACCAGTGATAATTATAGTGGGCCTTGAGCCATAGGCCCTTAGCTCTCTTTTTATCATTCATCTGTACATTACAATTTTTTACATTTGTTTCCATTTTAAACTTTATTCATTTTGACGAGCATAGAAACGAATATAAGAAATTTACTTTTCTAATGAGTCGTACTCACTCTTTATTTGCATCCGTTATCGACTTGCAATGGCCCGTGCAGATATACAATCACTCTATCTTCAAGACTTTCAATGACCCTGGTGAATCAGTTGAGCGGATTAGAGATTGTGACAAACTTGTTGCCTATATATTGCCAAAAGATATGGATGCATCTTCTCTGTTCGTGTTTATGCATCAAGAGGAAAGCGAGTAAGTTCAACTAGGTGGTTGATCCTTGCCAAAAAAACTACCCTACAATATAGCAAATGGTGGATTCACAATAGATTCCGGTAATTTTACAGTTGCTTAATAGGCTAATAGCTACTGACGAGTGCTTTAATTTTGTTATGATGTGGTCAGGTCATACGGATATAATTTCCATTACAAGAAGTTTGGCATCCCTCTCATTGCAAGGATACCTAATTTTTCTGAAGGGTCCCATTTACGTAAACAGTTTCTTAACCTCATTAATCCATTGTTAGTGTCTGGGGAAGAGCTCTTGAATGGTGATGCCTCACGAAAGAGTTCCCATGAAGATGAAGTGGTAGAGGAAGGATTATTCGGAGAGGCTTCAATCTCGGATAATGAAAGAGATTCAGATTCTCTGGATGACTTTCAATTTGTTTTGGAGAGACCTTTTGTTCATTTGAATCCCGTCAGGATACAGATGGATGAGCCTGTGCCCATGTCAAGGTCTGGCCAGCTAATCAAAGTGATTGTATATTGGCCGGAGAAAATGGTTGGAAACTATGATACTACGATTCTGAGATCGTTGCCCCAAGTTTGCAAGACTGAGTTCATGTCCAAGGGGAATGAAGATTCCATTTCACTGTATAATTGTGTTGATGCATTCGTGAAGGAGGAGCCTCTTGGACTGGAAGACATGTGGTATGTGTTAGTATCCTTATTTTGACTATGTCTTGTATTATTCTCTTTTTAATTTTAATCACGATATAATATTGGTCATATGAACTGTTATTCTGTTGTAGGTATTGCCCTAATTGCAAGGAGAACAGGCAGGCTAGCAAAAAGTTGGATCTTTGGAGGTTACCTGAGGTTCTCGTCATTCATTTAAAGAGATTTTCGTACACCAGATTCTTGAAAAAAAAGCTCGAGGCCTTTGTGGATTTCCCCATTGATGAATTTGATCTCTCTAATTATGTTATTCGGAAGAATAACACTGTTGGCCATCGTTACATGTTATTTGCTGTGAGTAATCACTATGGTGGCATGGGTGGTGGTCATTATACTGCATTTGCTAAAGTAAGTGTTGAGTCTGACTAATTCGTCTTTTGGGCTGAATGTATTTATTGTTTCACTTTTTTATCATTTTTTTTTCGTCGTCTTAAAATTTATTTCGTTTTTGGTGCTGAAATTGAGTTTTGTGAAATTTCATATAATTGTCCAACTTTGGTTATGGATAAGATGCATTTCATGAGTTTTCTGCACATTTAGATTGGTGTTAAATGCTATATATTCATTTGTTCGTTGTTTAATAATTTTTTTTTTGGATCCTGCAGCATAGGCTTGATAGGTGGTATGAGTTCGATGACAGGCATGTATCCCCTATTACTGATGAGCAGATAAAGACACAAGCTGCCTATGTCCTCTTCTACAAGAGAATCTAATCTAGATCATTCACAATTGCATAAATTAGTGAAGTAGGTATCATGTTCAATTTATCTCTGTTGAATCTCTTTTAATGGGTTCACGGCTGTGGAAAATCGGCTTATTTAAGGTGCATGAAATCATTTTTGCTAGATCGAAGTACATATGATTTTCTTTGGGACAGAAGGTTCACTGGTACACTAACATCACTTAGGATTATTGGTATGTTCATAGTGCTTTGCCGTGCACATGTTCTTTCATTTTAGAAAAATGTATAGTAAATCTATCTTTTCTCTCTCTCTCCCTCTTTTTTTTTTTTTTTTTTTTTTTTTTTTT